ATGATGTTCTTTCTGATGTGGAACGTTTGTTGGATGATAGTGATGCCATACTAATGGATAAACTGCTTTTTCAAAATCATTTGTTGCACCTTGTCCAAGTCCTGCGCTAAACACACAGTTATGGAAGTGTGAATTTCGAATGTGCAACAGTTCAAAATCGCAACATTTGTATTGTTGCTCAAATACCGATTGAGGAACTTTAGAATCTGATGCTATAATCATTTTTATTGTAATTTTAAGTAAAAATATTGTATATTTAAAACAGCGGATTAAAATTTTTAATGCGCCGATTATTGACGTTTTAATGCGCTGCTTAAATAAACAAAATAAACAATGACTTTAATAGTTTGATTTGACATAAATAAACGTCATTTTATAAGGCAAAATCGAATAAACATTATTTATTAAAAATGCACTGTTTTTTTTTGAGTTGTTTCTTTTCGAAGTAAATAATCTACAAATTAAAATTTCAATTATGCGTGTTTTAAATAAATAAATAATAAACTATTGGATACTTAATTAATGTTTATAAAAAATATTCAGTTTATAAATAAATAATAAAATTATAAAAATAAAATTTATGTGGTTGTTTAAATAAAACTAGTAGATAAAAATCTTGCATCCTTTGCAAAATGGTAAAATTGCTTACATTTGAAATCGATTAATTAATAATAGTGTTTTGTTTGTGGGTTGGATATTGCTTATGCATAGTGGGCGTGTTTTGACAAAACAAGAGGGGATAGAGGGTATTAATTAAAATGGTTTAAGTGTTTTACACAAGTTTAAGAACAACAATAACAGAAACAATATTTTAAAAAATGAGTTCTTTTTTGCAATCCATTAATGAAGAGACCTTTTTCGTTCCGTTTGTAAAACCAAGCCAACTGGAAGTTAATAAAAAATATTCAGTAATTCGGTTTAGTAAAGAAGATTTGCAGTTTGGCAAGCAAGTTGTGGTTGATTGTGGTGAATTCAAGACATCGTTACCACAACGATTTACAACAAAATTTACTGAAGTGCCTATTACAACGCTCAACAAAGAATTAAAGGAGGGCAAAGTAATTTTTATGGTTAGTCGAGGATTGGTTGGAAAAACAACAAACATCGCATTTGTGGAAGAATAAAAGTGGAACCATGAAGAATCAACAGAGAAGTGTTGAAAATCTAGAAGTAGTCAATAAAAAAAAAGTTGTTGTTTCATATACAGTCTATAAAATATTTAAAACATTTAGGGTGGTTTGCACCGTTCAAGATTAAATATTAAACGTCGATTATAGTATGCCAATCTGACATTTGTGTTTGCACCGTGTTGCATTTAACGAAAATCTTGGTTTAGCGACTGTCATATTTAATCCGTGAAAAATCACGGTTTAAAATGCAAATCTCCGTTTAACGTTTGAAGTTTCACGAATTATCTGTCACATCACAAGTCAAAAAACAAAATTTGATAACATTTTTCAAGAAAGGTTGGAATATTACTTTATATGTTATTAATAAATAAGTTTCATGTCATGCAGTGTTGTTGAAAAACAGAATTACCTACAATGAATTATTTTATGAATAATTTTGAACTTGCTGAAGATGATAATCTTAAAGTACTACAACTTATCGAGCATCGTATACCGCGCCAGGTTTATCAAAGAAAAGATTATTTCAATACATTAAATGCAGCCACCTTTCGTGAACGATTTCGATTAACAAAGGAATGTGTTTTGAATCTTCTGCCACTCATAGAAAATCGACTGGAATTTCCCACTGATATGTATAAATTCGTACTTTTCTGTAAATACACAAATGGTTTGTGATTCGAATTTAAAAATAATGAATGTAGTTGCACGATGGCCGGGATCGGCGCATGACTCCACTATATTCAACAATAGCAGAATACGACGTTCTTTTGAAAATGGACATTACAGAAACTGTTTGTTACTTGGTTAACAACAACTCATGTGTTTTAAAAATGTTTAATTTTTCTGTCGCCGTAGGGGATGGAGGTTATCCCAACAAAACATATTTATTTACACCTCTAATTCAACCCAACACTCAAGCAGAAAGTCGCTACAACCAAAGTCATATCCGTACTAGGAATCCCATTGAAAGATGCTTTGGTGTACTTAAAAGACGTTTCCCTATATTAGCATATGGTTGCAGATTAAAATTAAGCACATTACGTACCATTGTTGTATCAACAGCCATTCTTCATAACATTGCTATTAATATGGGTGATAATGAACCCCCTCCAATACCTGATGAATTAGATCAACATGAACTCAACAGGTTAATTGAAGAAGGGCAAATTCCTAATTTGCCTAATATATATAACAATCTGGCTGCAGGCAATGCAATAAGAAGGCAATATATCAACGAATTTTTTTCAAGATTATAATTAACATTAATTTTAAGAAATACAACATATTAACAAAATTAAATTAATTGTAATTGTTTTTTTTTATTTCTATTTCAAGCAGCAATAATTGTTTACGAAGTATTGCTTCTTCTTCTTGATGGTGTTGTACTCGTTGTACACTTTCTCGCTGCGCCTCTTCCCATTTATGTTTTTTCTGTTGATTTTCCAATTTCGCTAACAAAATTTGTTTTTGAAGTAGTGCTAATTCTATTTTTAAGTCTGATAATTCGTCATATTTTTTGGATAAATTTTCATTAGGAGATGAAGTTACTCGTAACTTGGTCTTCGACCTTCTCCTTGATCTCCAATTACCCCGTGTCTGAGGCTGAGAATTTAGATTTTCACTTATTTYAAAATTTGGTATAGTGTTATTAGCGGTTAGCGGAGCCTTAAATGTCAAAAAATAAGTAAAATATATATTATATTTTCATATGAACTATTACGACTT